TGATTCTCAGAGGCCTCGTGAAGCCTCTGCAAGGCCTCTTGGGGGCCTCTCGGCGTCTCTTCGGGGCCACTCGGGAGGTTCTGGAGGTTTCTTCAGATCTTTGGGGGCCACCTGGCGGGTCTCGGGGGCACGTTAGGAGCCACAGCCTCCAAGATGATTGCTGCCCCACGACCCCTCTTGGCACCCTCGTGGGGCCCTCTTGGGCCTCCCGTGGGGCCCTCTTCGGGCTCTCTCGGGGCGTCTTGGGCGCCCTTGGGACCGTCTAGGCGTGCATGCGGTTCCAGGGACGCAAACGATTTGATGAACGTGGTGAGAGAACGCCTCAGGACAAAAGTCCCCTGGCGCTCCCCCCTTTAACTGCGTCCCGCGGCCAGGGGGCGTCCAGGACACGCGGCTTCAACTTTGAGCGCCCCCCAGGCCCCCCCCCATTGACCGCGTCTCGCGGCCAGGGGGGCGCCTCGAAACACCACGGCTTCAACCTTGAGCGCCCGCCACCCATTGACCGCGTCTCGCGGCCAGGGGGGCGCCTCGGGACACCACGGCTTCAACCTTGAGCGCCCCCCGGGCACCGCCCCAGTGACCGCGTCTCGCGGCCAGGGGGTCGCCTCGGGACACCAGGGTTTCAACCTTGAACGCCTCTCCGGCCCACCCCCTTGACCGCGTCTCGCGGCTGGTGGGGGCGCCTCAAGACACAACAGGGGGATACCCGTGGAGACAAGGGAGAGAGAGAGAGAGAGAGAGACAGAGAGTGGAGACTCGAGCGGAAACCAAGAGAACCAACCAACCTCCTCGCCCCTCGCTCTGCGCTCGTCTTGAACGCCTCCCGGGCCCCCCCTTGACCACGTCTCGCGGCCAGGGGGGCGCCTGGGAACACCGCGGCTTCAACCTTGAACGCCACCCAGGCACCCCCCTTGAAGGCGTCTCGCGGTCGAGGGGTTGCCTCAAGACACAACGGGGGGATACCCGTGGAGACAAGAGAGAGAGAGAGAGAGAGAGAGAGAGAGAGAGAAAGCGAGAGAGAGAGAGCGAAAGATGAAGAGGAAGATACGGAAAAACAGAGAGTGGAGACTCGAGCGGGAACCAAGAGAACCAACCAACCTCCTCGCTCCTCGCTCTGCGCTCGTCTTGAACGTCTTCCGGGCGCCCCCCCTCGACCAACGTCTCGCGGCCGGGGAGGGCGCCTCGGGACGACTCTGCGGCTTCAACCTAGAACGCCCCCGGGGACCACCCGTTGACCGCGTCTGGCGGCCGAGGGGGAGCCTAGGGACACCCTGGCAGGAGGCGGAACGTCGTGGGCGGCGGGCGGGTCACGAATGGCTCGCCCCATTGCCGGGCGACGGGCCATGAAAGTAGCCCGCCGCCCAAAACCAAGTTCCTCGGTCCTCGTCCTCCCAGGCTAACGCGTCGCTGAGCGCCCGCCGAGGCCAAATCTGACTGGACTGCAGGATGGCGTGCTGTCCGCTCGCAGCTCGTGCTCCCACTGTTGGGGTCTCCTGGCAGGATTCTCGGGCGCCCCTTTGAGCCAGTTTTGAAGCCTCTTGGGGCCTCTTGGGAGCTGCTTGGGGGCCCCTTGGAGCCTCTCCCGGGCCTCTTGGGAGCATGCTAGCGGTCTTGGGGGTCCACTTGGGGCGGAGGGCTCGACATGTGAGCTGGAGTTCTCCCTCTTGGGGCCATCTTGGGCCGTCTTGGGCGGCTTTTCGACCGTCTTGGGGCTCTCTTGGGCCGTCCTGGGGCTCTCTTGGGGACCTTTTGGACCGTCTTGGGGTGATCTTCGGGGAGCATACTGAAGCCTTCTTAGGGCTTCTTGGAGGCCTCTTGGTGGCTCTTCGGCCATCTTGAAGCCATGTCGCGGCGTCTTGGGCCCCATTGCGCTGCTCTCGTCGCTTATTCGCTTCCCCTGGAGGGTGTTTCGGGCGGCCAAGGTGGCCGTGGGGAGGCCCAGGAGGCTCTTGAGGGGGGGGTGGGGGGGGGCAAAAGGGGTGGGTGGGAAATCCGAGAGGGTGTGCCGGCCCGGGGCTCGAGTCCTGGTACCCCAGCATATGAGATGAGATATCTCTAGATCTACATATAAATATGCACAGCAACATGCGTATGACCATATGTCACATATGTTCGTACGCATGGTGTCAAATTTGTCACATTCGTCACATATGTCACATTATGATATGCGTACCAAATGATCGACATGCAGATGTGTGTATGTACAAATGGAGGTGCCAATATGCATGCCCCGATGGGTATTCACTCGTATGTGCGTCCATTGCAATTCAAATATGGTGTCACCCTAACCCCTCTAGCCCGAAAGGTGGTCTATGCGCTATATGGGTACTGCGATATCGAATGGTGCTCCAATGGTTGTCCCGCGGCGGTCCTGTGGTTATCCCGATGGTTGTCCCGTGTTTTTGTCACCGTGGTTGTCCCATGGTTGTCCCGCGGTTGTTCTAGTGTTGCCCCGTGGTTGTCCCGTGGCTGTCACGTGGTATTCCCATGAATGTCCAATGGTTGTCCCGTGGTTGTCCTGTGATTGTCTGTGGTTGTCCAGTGGTTCTTCCGTGGCTCTTATGTATTGCCCGTAGTTGTGCTGCGGTTGTCCCATGGCTGTCACAGCCGTAGATGTACACAAATCTAGAACATCTTTGAAAACTGATGGACAAATCCGCCGGCCCCCTTGTGGGGCCACCAGGCTGCGAGGCACGGGTTCGCAGCTTCCAGTACCAGTTGTAGCTTGTAGTTTCCAGTGTTACAGTTCTGCTTCTTGCTGGTTACTGTAACTAGTTGATTGACCGCGCGAGGGGGGGGGAGGCCCAAACGGGATTTTTAGCGTCTCCTGGGCGCGTTGTCTGAATTGCTGGGGGGGCTCGAAATCGACACCCCTCACGCAGATCCGCGGGGTCAGGGTCCAAAAACACACGGGATTTGCCACATTTCTGAAATTCGGTGCCACCCCTCACGCAGATCAGCGGGGTCAGGGTCCAAAAACACAAGGGATTCGCCACATTTCTGAAATTCGGTGCCACCCCTCACGCAGATCCGCGGGGTCAGGGTCCAAAAACACTTGGGATTTGCCACATTTTTGAAATTCGGTGCCACTCCTCACGCAGATCCGCGGGGTCAGGGTCCAAAAGCACAGGGGGGGTTGCCACATTTCTGAAATTCGGTGCCACCCCTCACGCAGATCCGCGGGGTCAGGGTCCAAAAACACAAGGGATTTGCTACATTTATGAAATTCGGCGCCACCCCTCACGCAGATCCGCGGGGTCAGGGTCCAAAAACACTTGGGATTTGCCACATTTTTGAAATTCGGTGCCACTCCTCACGCAGATCCGCGGGGTCAGGGTCCAAAAACACAGGGGGGTTGCCACATTTCTGAAATTCGGTGCCACCCTTCACGCACATCCATCGCAAGGCGTGGTAACCCAAACTGCGAGAACTCCCTCGGCCCTTTAATCGCAAGGTGTGGTAACCAAGCCCGTAAACCATACACGTCTTACCAATCGCCAGGTGTGGTAACCCCTCGCATGAAGTTTCGATACTGTTTCACGACAGCGCCAAGGCCTCATGACTTAGCTCTTCCATGGCCCAATCTCCGAGAGAGGGGGCCGGCGGCAGGGGGCGAAGCCCTTACGGATATGGAAACAGGTGTACCGAGATAGAGATGATGAGATCGACGTGTATATATATATATACAGGCAGGAGCAGATTCCAAGTGCCTATACAGTAAGACAGACATGTGGCGAGACCAGTCCATCTTCCGATAACTGGATCGATGGTTTGACAGTGAGACTGAAATATAAGGAGATCGGGATAACTATACGACCACCCTTCGGGTGATGAGGAGGTTGTGGCGGGGGGAGAGGGGGGGAACCAACATCTGACTCAATCGAACTCACTATCGATCTCAATCAACGGGACACCACGGGACACCACGGGACACGTGTCAACTCACTATCGATCTCACTATCGATCTGACTCAACGGGACACCACGGGACACCACGGGCCACCACGGGACACCACGGGACACCGCGGGACACCTCTCGATCTCACTATCGGTCTCACTATCGATCTCACTCAACGGGACACCACGGGACACCTCGGGGCACCACATCGATCTCACTATCGATCTCACTGTCGATCTCACTCAACGGGGCAACACGGGACACCACAGAACACCTGTCGATCTCACTATCGATCTCACTATCGATCTAATTTTTTGGGACACCACGGGACACCTCGGGGCACCACATCGATCTCAATATCGATCTCACGATCGATCTCACGATCGATCTCACGATCGATCTCAATCAACGGGACACCACGGGGCACCACGGGACTCCTGTCGATCTCACTATCGATCTCACTATCAATCTAACTTTTTGGGACACCACGGGACACCTCGGGGTACCACATCGATCTCAGTATCGATCTCAGTATGGATTTCGATATCGATCTCACTATCGATCTTACTATCGATCTCACTATCGATCTCACTCAACAGGACAACACGGAACACCGCGGAACACCACGGGACACCACGGGACACCGCGGGACACCGCGGGACACCGCGAGCCACCGCCAGACGGACGGACGGAGGGGCCCTACCTAGCAACGGCGGGTTCATTCCACTCGCGCGCCCACGCAGCATCGCCTCGCCCGCACGCACGACACGAACGAAACGAAACGATTTCCCGGTTGGGTGTCTCCGTTCCACTGCGATCTCACCCCCCCAACCTCCGATTGATGTACTGATGGATCGTGAGACCAATCCCCCCAGGCGACCTATCAACCGAAGGGTGGCCCTATAGGTATGCCCTTTTCTGCGTTTCGATAGGAGTGCTCCCACGACAATTGCGAGCCCTGTGACGGTGTTCACGATGGCTCCCTCCGTTGAGTGCGCCCAGCTCCCCATGGCGTTCAGCTTCAAACTTATCCCCAAACCGGAAAATAGAAAACCACAATCCTGTGCCCGCGAGGAAAGGATGGATGGTACGGAGGATGGGACGCTATCGCCGTCGAACGCGAAGATGAGCCCCATCAGGCGGATCAGCGCGTTAATGGCGTCGCTGGGACACCTGCAGGGGCCGCGTGGGGGCACCTCGTACTTGTTCAGGAGGCGAGCGACCATGGGGATCACACACTTCAAGAGGAGCCTGATGAGGACGAGGGGGGAGAGAGCAAAAGGAGGAGGAGGAGGCAATGTAAATCCAAGACCCATCAACGATGCTGCAAGAAACACTCCCTCCGAATTCCCACTTCGCACACTCCTATAAGCGATCTATCTTCGCTGCGGGAAAGGCCCCATTGGGAGACAACCGTCTGACAATCCTCTACCGTGCCAGTGCATCATTTCTGGGGCTCCATCGGTGCGAAACTAATTTTGCGACCTGACGACCCTAAGCCGTGCCAGACCGCCATGTCTGGGAGGTCTGCGCCGCGAATTAACGTAGCTGTCGCGCCCTGGCAATCCTACATCCGGCCAAATCACCATCCCTGGACGTCAACCATAAGAATCCTTGCAATTACTGTAAACTGTTCGAACGGCTGTGCACGGCGCTCAAGCGAGAATCACATTTTGAACAAAGAACTGCCCTCCATCCGTGAAGCCCTTGCAAACGTTGAAAACACATGTGCGCGGCGCTGGGGCGAGAACCACATGTGCCCTCCATCCGTGAAGCTCCATGCGAATGACTAAGACGAGTGTGCGCCGCGCGACGCTAAAACGAGAAGCACATGCTGAACACTACCCGTCTTCCATCCGTGAAGCTGCTGCAAATTGCAGGTTTCAATGGTACAAATGGTGAAACAATTTTCGAGAGAAACGCCTGACACGCCCTATCGACCCGTCTCGGGGTGCGGCAGGAAAAAGTCATGTATAAAGAAACGGGGTGGATGGGGAGAGGAGGAAAAACAATAAACAATTCGCGGGGAATTCAAATGAGCTGCTCTGCTCCTACCGGAACTGGCCTAGAACTCTGTGCAACCCGTCTTTTGGTGGAGAAATGAGGAGAAGGAGAAGGAGGAAAAGGAGGAGGAGGAGGAGGAGGGGGAGGAGGAGGGAGGAGGAGGAGGAGGAGGGAGGAGGAGGAGGAGGAGAGAGAGAGGAGGAGGAGGAGGAGGCGGAGGAGGAGGAGGAGGAGGAGGAGGAGCAATGAACAATTCGCGGGGACTTCAAATGAGCTGCTGTGCTCATGCCGGAACTGGCCTTGAACTCGGTGCAACCCGTCTTATGGTGCAGAAATGAGGAGAAGGACAGGAAGGTTGAGAAAAAGGAGGAGGGGGAGGAGGAGGAGAAAGAGGAGGAGGAGGAGGAGGCGGAGGAGGCGGAGAGGGGGACGAGGAGCAATGAACAATTCGCGGTGAATTCAAATGAGCTGCTGTGCTCATACCAGGGCTGGCCTTGAACTCGGTGCAACCCGTCTTATGGTGGAGAGATAAGGCGGAGGAGGAGGGGGAGGAGGAGGGGGGGGGGGGGGGAGGAGGAGGAGGGAGGAGGAGGAGGAGGAGGAGGAGGAGGTAGGAGGAGGAGGAGGAGGCGGAGGAGGAGGAGGAGCGGAAGGGGAGGGGGGAAGGAGGAGGAGGCGGCGGAGGAGGACGAGTAGGAGTAGGAACAGGAAGAGGATGATGATGCTGAGGAACAGGAGGAGGAGGAGGAGGAGGAGGAGGAGGAGGAGCAGGAGGAGGAGCACCACGTCTGCTTAACGCAAACAAGAGGAGGAGGGGGAGGAGGAGGAGGAGGAGGAGGATGAGGATGAGGAGGAGAAGGAGGAAGAGGAGGAGGAGGAAGAGGAGGAAGAGGAGGAGGAGGAAGAGGAGGGGGATGAGAGGGCAGGAGGAGGAGGCGGATGGGGAGGAGAGAGGAGAGAGGAGAGAAGGGAGGGGAGAGAGGAGAGAGGAGAGAGGAGGTGAGGTGAGGTGAGGTGAGGTGAGGTGAGGTGAGGTGAGCGAAGCCAGAGCGCGCAGGTCGAGCCGACGCGACTGGGTGGGCCAGGGGCTCCTCCTCAACACCTTGGTACAACGTAGAGGCCAAGGCATGCAAACGGTCAGCGCATGTCGGCCTCACCGAAGCCTGCAGCGGAGTCTACTCGCATCGTGTTGACCCAGCCACATGTAGTCTCACCACGCTGAGGATAGTTGGGCTCGTCGTCGCAATCGTCGATGTCCAGAGCAACGGCACTTGGCTTGTCTAGAAGAACGTGCGGGGTCACGAGCCGACAAAGCTTCTGACTTCGGGGCCTGGGCCCGATCTCGACACTCATCGGATAGTGCTGACGAGGAGGAGGGAAGCCGCCCACACGCCGAGGTTCTGGCCATGAAGTGGCAAGAAAACCCGATGCAACCCAGTAATCCAGGTTACTGAGGTTGGCCGTGGCCGGATCCTTGTACGCGCCCTGCTTCAAAGCTATCACCGTGGCCCGAACCATCGATGGAAAGTCAGAGTTCAGCATGACTGTCGGGGCGATGTTCCAATCTCCAGCGAAGGCGAAGGGTAGCGAGTAGAAGCTGAGGCACTCTCCAATGCGAACGAGCCGTGCAACGTTGGCTCCACTAAGGCGGATCCCTTGCTCGGGGTATGTCGATCCAACAATCATGCCGCCACGCAACGCCGACTGAATCATCGCCGCCACACTGTATCCTGGTATCAGGACGTGCGTGTCCGAAAAGGCTGTGAGCGGCACCACATGCATCTGTCGTCTGATGAATAGGCCCACCCCACCCATGGGCGCTGAGAACCGCGTCGCTGGTGAACGCTTGCCACCCGCGCTTATGACACCACTCCTCCGCAGGGAGCCTGCGATGCCCATGCAGGTGAAGTTCCTGCCCTCCCACGATCACCACGTCCTGAACGTGCTCGAGGAAATCCTGCATCTGGGGCCAACCTGAACTGTTGAAGGTAGCCATCTGCATCGGCTGCTTGCGTCGCACAGCCCGTTGCCGTGCAGGCTTCTGTGGGAAATCCTGGGCAACCCCAGCGCTGCCGCCCCTTGGCTCGCGACACCCTGCCCCGACATCGTCGCCGGGGCAGGGGGCGTCGACCGCATCCCCGTCGGGAACCCCTGCCCTGGGTTGTGCGCGCAAGGGGGAATTAGCAACGCGCTCGCCTCTGCCACCTTTGACGGGGACGAGCTCGTCCGTCGACGATATTGCGTGCACGTGCGACCCTGGAACGACATGCGGAGCATCAGGATATGCAGGCACTGGGGTTAGGTAATCACTCTCAGTGTTCTCATAAGTATAACAGAATTGCGCAACGTCTTGGTCGTTAGTCGGCTGAATGCAATCATTGTGCTCGCCACCGACTGACAAGACCGCGAGACCTGCTATAGAACTGTTGGGTTCCGAAGGCGTCGCGCGTCCACGCGTACTATCGCGGCCCTGCAAGTTAAAATCGGCACCAGTCTGGCGTCGTGCAGTGGCCCGAAGCGGGGACAGGCTGAGGATGTCGCCGTGGCTGTTCTGTCTCGGCATGATCCCGTAGAGATGAGTCTTACAGCCTAGCTCACCTCTGTAGGGGGTCCCTCCGCCACCGCAGCGCAGGGGCCTATCGCGCGCGCGGCAGCGCGGCGCGGGCACCCCTGCTTGAGCCAAAATGGCTTGATCCAAAATTGCTACGGAGGAGGAGGCGTAGGAGGAGGAGGAGGAGGAGGAGGAGGAGGAGGAGGAGGAGGAGGAGGAGGAGGAGGAGGAGGAGGACGAGGAGGAGGAGGGGGAAGAGAGGGCAGGGGGAAGAGGCGGCGCAGGCAAAAAGAGGACGCGGATGACGAGCAGGAAGGTGACATCTGAGCGATAGCAGGTGCGGAGGCGCCGACGACGGCCGAGGCAGAAGCCCCAGAGGGTATGGCACGGCCACGGCGGCCCCAAGGCGCACCTCCCCCCCCCGGGCCGCCACCCGCGAAGCAACCTCGGCCGCGGGGCAAACCGAACGCGCCGAGGACCAGCTCTTGTAGAGACCTCCTAGATAGGAGTCCCGGTGCCGACATCGCTACCACTCCCTCGTTTTCCCCTCTCGGGGCATCCTGGGAGGCCCTCGTCGGCACGGCTGGATTCGCCTCAAATTCTGGTCAGAACGCACCTTGGGAGAGGTCCTGGGGAGTAGCGGTGTCGGTTCCTTTTGGTTTCCCCAGGGGCGCGGGAGGTCGCAATGAAACTGGGCTTCCCAAATGGGGTCGGAAAGGATGGGGTCGGAGGACCGTGCCGCATCGCCGACGCATCGCCGATGCACGGGCGATGCATCGGCGACGTCGGCGGTGCATCGGTGCCGCACGCGTGGAGAAACCTGGGCCCCACATCGAGCCGCATCGGCGATGCATCGGCAATGCTGCGCGATCCTCCGACCCCCTCTACTCGGACTTCATCTGGGAGGCCAGCATCTTGAGCAATCGCCACTGTCCCCCGGACCGCCTGGCCGTGCGCAGGAGCAGCTCTGGCCCTGAAGACGTGGCGGAGGTGCCTCACAACAACATTGAATGGAACGGAAGAAGGGGCACGCGAGGGTGGGGAACCCGCATGGGGTGGCAATCTAAGGAGAAGCCGGAACGCCCTTTTTGCACACATGTGGGCTTGACAAACCCATCTGGGGCCAGCGGTAAGAGGAGAACGGGGGGGAGAAAGGAGGAATTTCTATGTTGTTGTAACCTTGTCAAGCGTCGTCGCGGCTGGATTCGCGTCGAGATCCTGCCCTGGACAAAATCCAGGAGAGGTCGCAGCCCATACTTCGCGAAGGAAACCTTAACGATGACGGGGAGCGAGGGAGGAGCGAGAGGAAAACCAAAGTCGAAACACTGTCATAAGGGAAACATATGACAAACTGTCAAACAGATAAAGAACACCGAGCCCCTCCCCAACAAAAGTGGCTGCTTCTTCAACAGCCCGACTGTCTGGCTTATTTCTCTTCCGTCCTCTCTCCTAACCCTCCCTGCCTCCCTCCCGCTCCTCTTCTCTTGTCCTCCTTTGCGCCAGCTTGACCTTTCATCGCACGTCAGCTCGGTGGCTGGCATTGGGGGT